CTGTGTCTGACAGTGCTCTCAAGCTGAGGGCCAAAGGAAACCTTTCCCTCCATAAGCCGCTTTTGTCAGTTATTTTGTTACATCAAGAAAAGTGAAAATGCAACCGATCGGTGCATAACAACTATATACCGAAATACCACACCACGCAACATTAAGATACGCAATTATCATCTGGCCATTTAAGAAATGGAAAATAGGGGCTGCAGAGATGGCTCAGTGGTCAAGAGCACTGACTGCTTTCTACCAGAGGGCCCGGGTTCAACTCCAGTTCCAGGGGATCCACACCCTCACCCAGACATACATGTAGGCAAAACACCAATGCATATAAAATAAAATTCAAAAATTGAAATGGAAAATAGTAAAAGACAGCATGCATTTGGTATCTGTTGGAAGATGCTTTCATTCTGACATTAGAAACCATGGTGCACCCTCTCATCCCCACACACAACACTTACCAAGTGGACCCAGAGACGCCTGCCAGGTATGTGACGGCATCCAACAGGCCAAGTTCTTTCATTTCACTCAGTACTCCAAGATAAGCGATGTGGGCCCTCAGTCCCCCACCAGAGCCCAGGACGGCAATGACCGGAGCCTGGGCATTAGAGGAAGGACAATTAGAGCCAGTGAGCAATGTAGGAACAAGAGGACATCTAAGGTCCTGCTTGAGTAAGGTGATATCTGTCCCGGGTCAATGCTCTAGCCGAGTAAGTCCATACGTATTTACCCACCCTTCCTACTCATCCTGGATCAGTTGAGCTGCAGAACCCAGGGACAGTAGAGGCAATGTCACCAGTATGGCCCCTCACTCGCACTTACCTGGTGAGCCTGGATGTTCAGCTTTTGCAGAGCTTCCAACACCTTGGGGCTACGTTTGGTCAGAGCGGCCTTCTCCTCTTTCTGGAATCCAGTAGCAAAGTAAACCCCAGTGCTTCTCAGGACAAAGAGAAAAACAGGAAACAACAGGAATTTTGCAGTAAGTAAACACAGAAATTACCTAGAGTTATGTCCTCCAAAGAGCCACCTACCAGTTGCAGGCTGCTTAGGAGCAAATGTGGTCAAGGGCTCTGAGGTTAAGATGCATCTCAGATATTGAAAACATGAACTAAAGAGCAGCCAAAGGCCAGCCAAGATGGTTCTGCAGGTAAAGGTGCCTGCCAACAAGTCTGATGAGCTGAACCACACAGTAAAGGGAAGAGAACTGACTTCCCCAAGTTCTCTTCTGATCTACCCATGTGATGTGGCACATGTATGCAAGCAGACATGCATGCATGCATTCACACACATTCATACAAATAAACAAATAAGTAAATGTAATTGTTTTTAAGAAGGCCGGAGTCATGGCTCATCAATTAGCTTGCTGCTAATAACCAGGAACTAGAAACAACCTAGATGTGCATCCATCAAAGAATGGATAAAGAAAATGTGGTCCATTTATGTAACAGAGTATTACTCAGCAGTTTAGAAAAATAACATCATGAAATCTGCAGAAAATGGACAGAACTAGAAAAATATCATCCTGAATAAAGTACACAGACCCAGAAAGACAAACATGGTATGTTCTCACTTGTAAGTATATATTAGCTGTTAAGGATATTCACACTACAATCCATAGACCCAGAAAGGCCAAAAAAAAAAGAGGCCTCGGGGTGGGGTGGGGTGCATGGATCTCCCTGGGAAGGAGAAATCAATTTTGTGGGTGGATTGGGAGCAGGTGAGGATGGGAAGTGGGGGGTAGGGATCAGGTTGGGGAGGGGTGGGCAGTAGAAGAGAACATGGGAGAGATTACTGGAACTGGGTGGCACTGGGGAATAATTTGGAAATCTAGTGCAATGGAAACTTCCTAGAATCTATGAGAGTGGCAGTGGTGAGGACCCCTGGTGATGGAAGACATGGAGCCTGAACTGTCCATCTTCTGTAACAAGGCAAGGCTTCCAGTAGTGGGTCTGAGACATCAACTCAGGCACAAAACCTTGGACCTACAACCTGGTCTACCCACAAGATATGCTGGCAATGGTGGCTCAGAACTTGTAAAAGTGGCCAACAAATAACTAGTCTAACTTGAAACCCAAGCCACGAAAGAGAGACCATGGCTGACACTGCCTGGGTGGCCAGGAACCACAGGCTGAATAGTCAAGAGACCTAGGTTAGAACTAAACATATCTGAGGGGGGGAAAGTCAATGAAATGATTCCTAATTATATTCTGCTATACTCATAGATTGGTTCCTCGCCCAGTCATCATCAGAGGTTTCCTTCAGAAGCTGATGGGAGCAGATGAAAAGATCCACAGGCAAACATTAGGCAGAGTTCAGGGAAGCCTTGGGGAGAAGGAGGATTGTAAGAGGCAGAAAGGTTGAGGACACCAGGAGAACATGGCCCACAGCATTGAGTAAGCAGGGTTCATATGGTCTCAGAGACTGATGCCACAATCACAAAACCTATGG